GCTATCTGATGCATTGCACCAGAAATTCTCCTCTATGATATAACCAATGAGGTGATACCCAACTAGAGTACCGATACTTCGAGATTTGACTAGTATTCAACAAAAAATATGACATTGCCTTGTTTGATGAATTGGAACTTCTTATCGGAGCAAAGTACCGTTGCTTGAAGCATTTCGTGAGGCGACACATGGGTACGAAACGCTTTCGGGTTCCACAACTTCCTGTAACTCAATTGTAACTGATACTACGCAACCAGTTACAGGACATCCTAAAGCTGATGACTAGACCTGATTAGCTCTCCAAATCTTTTCGGTAGGAGACTGAGCTTATCACCTGGCGGTCTTTTAATAGACTCATAGTTTTCTTCCCGAAGAAAGTAATCACGTAGAGGAGTGACATGAGACAGTGCCTGTAATGTAAACTGAGTAAACTCTATCCGAAGCTCAGACACAAAACAGAAATATTCCAGCCGATCTCGAAGAAATAACAAAATCTCTAATGAGCAATTATATAACTTCTACCCCATGAATTTCAACAAAAAAAATTTGAATCACAAAACTGGGAAAACTGGAAATTTACACGCTAAAACTTTTCACATCTTTCAAACGTCTAAATCTCCTGTTTGAGGTTTCAAAATTGATATTAAACAGGTGAATATGGTATCATATCTGAGTAAAATTGTAATAATGACAAAAATAACTTTAATAGATTCATAACGACTATTATACAAAAGTTTAAGCATGAACATACTCCCTACATGTTCGCATTCACCTATATACATAATAATTGGCAATTCTTTTGGATCATTTCGATTGTGATGCATTATGAGGGATTCAAGTCAAAGGACAGAAAGAGCATTAGCTAACTATGAAAGAATAAATTAGATCCAGAACTAGTACTCAATTAAAAGGAATTGAGAGCATTTGATTTTCAATAGAAGCAAAAGGAGGATTTTTGCGCTAAAATTAAGAAATTAACCGTTTTCTAACTATTAAAATTTTCCAAGAAAAAACTTTCAAAGATTAGTGACCAGATCTTACATGAAGAACCACATTGCAATAGTCGTTAGCCTTGATGTTGTTGAGACCGACAACACCTGGGAAGTAAGTGGAGTCGTCATACGCCCTTGTCATCCTGTGCTGCCGATCCAAACTGGCAATCAATTCCTTTGTATACGTTGGTTTGAGAACATACTGAAATGCAAAATCAACCCTTTTTGATAACTTGAGATCAAAGAAGAAAGAAAAACTTTGTGTTGAAATGGTTTTTA